CATTTAGATTTTCGACACAAACTGCAATTTGTTAAAGTAACTTCATTTTGGTAACCGGCATAAAAGTGTCACTGCTCAATATGAAGTTGGTGAAAATGAGCCTGAAAGTTGCTTGAAAAGTCAAAAATTATTCATCTAATGCACACGTGCTTTGCAGCTGTCTAAAACTACCATTTTTAAGTTTTTTTTGAGTAACAACAACAACAATGAATCCTTCACCTAGACCGCAATAGTTTCATCTGCCAAAAACGACCTAACAAATCCAATACTAGATTTTTTTTTTAGCCTCCAAACTTCTTGTACCACTTCTATCAATCTTTCCCAGTCCCCAATAGTTTAAATTCAAGAAGTTTTTGGTGAAACTGTATACCAGTGTTTACACTTTTTTTTGTGGTAGTTGTTCAAGTCCAAAAGTAATTAGATAAATAAAAAATCTTTCGCTTATAAAAGTTTAAGCTGGAATTATTTAAAGACACTGTAGTCATAGCGCAAGGGGAAAAAAAAAACAAGGATAAGAAAATAAAAATGATGATGATGATGTCTTCTATAAAACTAAACAAGCAAGTGAAAGAACTGCAAAAGAAAAAAAAAGGCTTTTATAAAAAAAAGCTTTTGTGTCTGTGTTTGCGTTAGTGGTGGTGGTATTTCATGTACGTTTCTATATGTATTTGTGTAAAGGAATTTTTAAGCAACTGAGAAGAGCAAAAACAGCATTTTAACCAGTGTAATATGTTAAAACACGAAAAAAAAAAATAACGGAAAAAATTGTCAGTTTAGAAAAAGAAATTTTTTTAATTTTTTTTTTCCTCTAAAAATCCATTCACCACTCAATCCAATTTTTTGGCCTGAAATCAATTTAGTTTACAACATAAAATCGTCATCACAAAAAAAAAAGAAGAAGGATAACAATGGCAAAAGAAAGAAAAAAAACAATTAAAATAAAAGCTTTTCGATCGATAAACAAATAAAAAAAAAGGGTTTAATAAATCAAATTTACTCCCTTCTTAGTACTCCCCCTCCCATCTCCACCTTACTTCTTTAACCTTTAGCCTATTCCTCATTCCTTCCTTCTTGAATTATTTAAGTCCTGAAAAATCTTTTGTATTTGTCTTGTTCCGCACAACTACTCATCTCTTTCTTTTCCTCCCCAGCCCTTCATTCCTTAGACTTTCAAACTCTTAAACTTTATTGCTGTTACCA